ATGTTGACACTTCCTAGCTTACATCATAGGTCCTGTTTTCCCGCTTTCCCAAATCAAATCCAGGCTCCATTTTTAAAATTCCGTCATTATTCGCAAGCGAATTTACTAAATTCCTATTGTATGTGCTAATAAAATTACTATATCCCTAATTAATTTTCTAACGTAAGGACAAAATCCAATTGTATTTGCTAATAAAATTACTATAACCCTAATCAATTTGCTAACGAAAACAACAACAAAGGTTTTGAGATAGAAAATATTTTAAAATTAAAAAAAAAGTGTACGCCTGAAGTGAAACGCGGCATTTTAAGCTACAGTTAACTCGATCTAGACGAGTTTATAAATTGCTTGAATGATCAGAAAAAAATAAGGGCGAAATAACAAAAGTAAACCAACGTCTTTGGTTTATAAAAGGAAATTGAAGTCTTTTACCAGCAGACGACTTCTGTGACTTGCCAACAGTGACAACTCACCATGAGCTGTTGCTATTTATATCTCGACACACATCTGTTCCCTTAACCTCTGACCCCGGGAGACACGTGACATTTCGTGCGATTCGTTCATGACCCATACGATTCCGTCATAGCAAAGAAAACAGGATACCTCGACTAGTGCTGTTACCAACAATAATAGACGTATGCTGAGGATGGGGGGAGTGTAGGGGTGGTAGTGATGGTAGGGGTGGGGTGAGAGGGTGGGTTAAGGTTGGGGTGGGGTGGGGGTGTGGGTGTGGGTGAAGGTAGGAGTGTGCGGAGTGTGAGTATGGGCTTGAGGGTAAGGTGAGGGTAGGGGTGGGGGTGGGGGGAGGTGTGGGTGATGGTAGGGTTGAGGGTGACGGTGTTCGTGAGGGTGGAGTGAATGGGACACAGATATCTTCGGCGCAAAACAAGATAAGTTGACTGGGCATGGACCAGATAGGTCCATTAAGCCTCAAAAGTGACCTTGCACATTTTTTAAAGTCAAAAATTTTTTTTGTGTGTGATGAATTTAATTTTATAAAGAATTAAAAAAAAAGAATTTATTATAAAATTTGAAAATGTAGAGAACATGAACCTATTGCTGTGAGTTCAGGGCTATATTCCAAGAAATCCTAACCGACACGGTACCTTGACATATCTTGTCCTATCGCTATTGCAATACAGACTGTTTGGTTGGTATTTCATCAGGAATACCAGTGCCCGGCATTTGTAAGTATTTCATTCTGTGGTACGCCAAATAGTATTTATATCGTGTTAATCTCGGTAATGTAATCCAATTCTAAAAAAAATATTTTGCACACACTGTCGGTAATCCCCTATAATAACTGAACGTCAGTCCAATGTTCGGGCTTTCATCAGTAGCACCAAAAGGCTGATGATACAATATTGGATCCGTTCCTACCTCATAATAGTAGCTATTTTAGAACGCAACTTCCGGTTTCATGGGAAAGGGCGGGGCTTGTTCTAGGGGTAACAATCTACGACAATTTGGTCTGAGGCTATCTGGGACAAGCAGCCATTTTGATTGCGTGTTAGAGGTTTGAGTGATTCGGCGAGAATTTTATTGGGAGAGGGGGGGGGGGGTGTTTGATTAGGCAGCACACAGACGAGAGCTTCTATATCGATGAGAAATTTATCAGGTTCGATGGGATAGGGCCCTGACAGTTCCTAAATATTCACCTCCAATTTCAGAGAAGTACCCCGAGGTTTTGTTGTGGGGGCACGTAGTAAGGTCAGCTCCATCGGTTAGGTCATATAGCTAAGGTCAGCTCCATTGGTTAGGTCACATAGCTAAGGTCATCTCCATTGGTTAGGTCATATAGCTAAGGTCAGCTCCATTGGTTAGGTCACATAGCTAAGGTCATCTCCATTGGTTAGGTCATATAGCTAAGGTCAGCTCCATTGGTTAGGTCACATAGCTAAGGTCAGCTCCATCGGTTAGGTCATATAGCTAAGGTCAGCTCCATTGGTTAGGTCACATAGCTAAGGTCAGCTCCATCGGTTAGGTCATATAGCTAAGGTCAGCTCCATTGGTTAGGTCACATAGGTCAGCTCCATCGGTTAGGTCATATAGCTAAGGTCAGCTCCATTGGTTAGGTCACATAGCTAAGGTCAGCTCCATCGGTTAGGTCACATAGCTAAGGTCATTTCCATTGGTTATGATATTCTATACAACACGAAACTATCACCATTACACTTGTATGACCAATGGACTCTCGTATTAAATGTAAACATGGATACTGGACACATAAACAAAGAGACACATGACACTTAGACACATAGACACATGACACATAGACACATAGACACATAGACACATAGACATATGACACATAGACACATAGACACATAGACACATAGACACATAGACACATAGACACATAGACACATAGACACATAGACACATAGACACATAGACACATAGACACATAGACACATAGACACATAGACACATAGACACATAGACACATAGACACATAGACACATAGACACATAGACACATAGACACATAGACACATAGACACATAGACACATAGACACATAGACACATAGACACATAGACACATAGACACATAGACACATAGACACATAGACACATAGACACATAGACACATAGACACATAGACACATAGACACATAGACACATAGACACATAGACACATAGACACATAGACACATAGACACATAGACACATAGACACATAGACACATAGACACATAGACACATAGACACATAGACACATAGACACATAGACACATAGACACATAGACACATAGACACATAGACACATAGACACATAGACACATAGACACATAGACACATAGACACATAGACACATAGACACATAGACACATACACACACTGGACTCGCACACATACGACTTGGACACACGGGGCACTAACAGACACATGGACACATAACCCAAACCCTAACCCGAGTCCTACCAAAGACTTAACCCTGATTTTGGTCGATAAAAGCTAAACTTAGATACCAATACTACTAACAACCTAACACACCTCTTTTTTGAAGAGTCTATTATCGGACATCAGTAACACCAATATCCCGTATGACAAGAGCCTCGTTTTAACCCACTCTATGTGACCCAACTAACTCGTGACCCGACGAACTAGTTAGAGATTGGAAGAAAAAGAGAATGGACAAATTCAATTGAACACAAAAAATGGGTGATTGAAATATTCCATTTCCGTAGCTGATTACGTTTTTTTAATGTCATGCTCTCCCTTGTGTATAGACACATAACTTGCACAAACACACACACACACACACGTACACACACATTGTTGTGTAGATCTATTCACGCACATGCGCATTTGAGTGATTGTTAAAATAAAATTCAGGACAGGAAATCGAGCTGTCGATGCAGAGGTTAAATTTGATCTTCAACTGGTCACTGTGTCACGTGACATCAGACAGTTGATCGTGGGGTGAGGGTAACTCTAGGTACGGTGGGGTGGGGGGTGGGGGAGGGAGTGGAGGGGGAGATGCAAGGGTATCTCTCAACTGTATGTACGGTGGGGGTGGGGGTGGGGGAGGGAGAGGAGGGGGAGGTGCAAGGGTATCTCTCAATTGTAGGTACGGTGGGGGTGGGGGTGGGGGAGGGAGAGGAGGGGGGCAAGGGTATCTCTCAACTCTAGGTACGGTGGGGGTGGGGGAGGGAGAGGAGGGGCAAGGGTATCTCTCAACTCTAGGTACGGTGGGGGTGGGGGAGGGAGAGGGGGGGGGGAGGGGCAAGGGAAATCCAAATACCAAAATGTTATTCAAGGGAAATAACTTTTACAAGAATAGCTAAATTAACCAAGTGTAACTAAGACATGCTTAAAAACACAATAAACGCTCTAAATTTCATCACCTAATAATTTTAACAAATATTTTTTTATTTTTTATGTAACTGTTTTAAAAGAATAAATTTGATTCATTGACTACTTAACTGTAGGTTTTGTTTGAAAGACTAAACATGGTAGCTTTATTATAACATACTTATAGTCAAGTTTGATGACATACTAACTCACGATGATCGTCATAAAAGTTAAACAAAATTTTGGATCCCTTAAATCGGCATTCCCTCCAGCTCTTGCCCGTACTTATCACTGATCAAAAAAAACTCAAGATGGCCGAAACCAGACAGACACGACTTTCAAAAAACCTTAGCTGGCCTTCGCTCTGTCCTGTAGATAACACGGACACCTCGCAAACTACCAGCTGGCCTGTGTCAACACCCGTAGCGGATACATATCCAAATGAAACTGTAAATGTTCTTGAAAGTGGAAGAAAAATCGGAGATGTGTTACAAAAGGAGAGAACTGTCCCTGTACCTGTAAGTACACTCTTCAAAAAAATTACGCTTACGGGGTCCGCACCTGGGCGGTATCCCAAAAACACGCTACGTGTGTTGATTAAAGGAAAAAAAGAGCGTCGACTGGATGAATTTATCTTAGAAGACTTGTTTACATGTGAATTGAACATTAACCGCTCACAAATTATAAATGTCTACAACTTAGGAAAACCAAGCGAATGGTACATCTCACTGAAATCTGAAGAAATCTATAACTCTCTACATCTGGTAGTAATCTGCGAACACTCAGATTATTGTAGCAGCATGTTGCTGCTACATGTTGATAAAAATGGTCAGAGGGGTCACTTAAAGTGGGTACCTCCTACCATTACTCAGAATATGATCAACAAAATCATGATCGAAATATCTGAGCCAGATACAATCGTGTCAACTTTAAAAATTGGTAAAAGTGACAAGTGGGCAGTTGATTTTTGCCCAAACGCCCCCCTAAAGGACCTACCCCACTATATTGATTTAGAAATTGGAGGAGAAACTTACACCTTGCTATTACAACTAAACGGCAGGAGATCGATATGCCCCCTTTGTGGCACGACAAAACATGGACCGGCCGCCTGCCGAAGCCCCTATGTAAGGGAGAGAGACAATATATATATAGACAACGACGGAAACTATTACGACAATGATCTACTTATTGACGACAGCGAAGATGTGTCTGACGACGCCGCCGAAATTGAACCAGCCCAAGAACCAGCTACAACTACAGCCCCTACCACAGAAGGTGAATGGACAAAAGTTCAGGGAAAAAGAAATAAGCTTTCACGGAAAAAAAAGAAAGATAGCTTACGAAGCAAAGAAAACGAACACATCATTGAAACCGACACCATACAGAGCCCTACACGACCAACCCCAACACGCCCAACCGCAAAAGACAGGACCACAACAAAAAGGAAAACTTTCACACCCCCTCCACTAATCCCAAAACAGACTAAGGCGGACCAGGTTTTAAAGGCAGTGTAAGTAACCTCACAGTTATAACCCTCAACATACAAAGTACAAGATACAAAGACAAGTTTTTAAGACAATTAATCGACAAACATAAACCTGACTTCATTTTACTACAAGAAACTAATTTCAAAAATAAATACACAGCAGACAAATTCACTCACAACTTAGGGTTAACTCAAGCACATCACAGCTACAGTTCACTAATCACGGGAAGCGGGTCAACAATTTTTAACACATCAAACAAGTTCAACATAACAGACACGCACGCCGACTCTGAGGGAAAATTAGCAATAGTTACAATCGAGGGACAAGAGGGAAAACTAAGCATAGTCAATGTACACGGACCACATAGACCAAAAGACAGTAAATTTTATGAAAACCTGGAACATTTATTAACTAACAGATACAACCAACACGACATCATTTTGGCCGGGGACTTCAATTTCGTGGAAGACAGATTAGACATTTTAGGACCAAAAGACATAATTCGAAACCGTTTAACCGCAGACAAACCACACGCCAACTCAATCAACAACATTAAAACATATTTCAATTTAGTCGACACATACAGAGCGCAATATCCACACACCATACAAACCACCCACGGAAGTAACACATCTGGGAATAGATTCCGTCTAGACAGAATTTACGCCCCATCGAACATGAAAATCAACAAAGTAGAACACCTATTCTCAACACTACAGTTTAGCGACCATACAGCAGTTCTGACAACTTTAAAAAATGAACAAATACAAAACAAACCAAAACACAACACATATTGGAAATTCAATAATACACTCTTACTAGACGAGCGCTACATTAACATTATTAAGGACTTAATAAAATTTTACACGCAGTCATCACCAAAATTTAACAAAATCCAACATTGGGAAGATTTAAAACAAGACATTAAGCGGGTATCTATCCAATATGCATGTAGCATTAATAGCGTAAGGGCCCACATAGAAACTAAATTAGAAAAACAATTAAGTATACTGAAAGGAATCAACAACAACAAAGAACAAATAGACGCAACAGAATCAGAACTTTCTAAAATACAAGAGCACAAATATAAAGGGGCGCAAATTAGAAGTAGAATCGAACAAATAGGCTCGGAAAATCCCACACACCACACCTTAATTTTAGAACAAAGCTTTCAGAGGGCAAAACAAATCACACATCTCATAGATAACAACAACCAAGAGACGACTGACCCTGAAAAAATTCAATCAATATTTAGAGACTATTATACGCAACTGTATAAGTTCGAAGAGACAAACACAGACATACAAGACAAATACCTTAAGTTTATTAAACCATTACGTGACAGCGACAAAATTAATATTGACACCCCCTTTCAGCCAGTCGACATAACCAAAGCCATACTGAAATTAAATTCAAATAAATCGCCAGGGCCGGACGGCCTGACAAGCGAATTTTTTAAAGCCTTTTCAACCGACCTAATTTCTCTCCTTTTAGCTACCTTTAGAGAAATGTTTCTGCTAGAACAATGCCACGAAAATTTCAACAGATCATACATAACATTAATACGCAAACCCAAAACCGATCCTAAACAAACCCAAAACTATAGACCTATTTCTCTCCTAAACACTGATTACAAAATCCTATCCAAAGCTCTAGTCTCCAAAATTGAACCGCACTTGCATAAAATTATAAATGTAGACCAACAATGCAACATCACAGGTAGGAACATACAAAATCACAATCACTTAATTAGAGACATTATCCACTACACACACGAGAAAAACACACAAGCATGCATACTCAGTTTAGATCAAGAAAAAGCCTTCGACCGGGTAGCTCACAAATACCTTCACAAAATCTTAGAAGCAAACAATTTAGGACAATACTTTACGACATGGATAAAAATAATCTATTTTAATGCACATAGTCACTTACTGATAAACCATAATATTTCCCAACCCTTTAGAATAAATAAATCAGTCAGACAAGGCTGTCCCCTATCTCCAATCCTTTATATACTAACACTCGAACCCCTTTTAGAATGCATTAGAAACACTAGAGACATTAGAGGAATCGACATCCCAAATCAATTAAACAAAAAAATTCTAGCGTACGCTGATGATACAGCTTTTACGCTCCAAACCGAAAAATCTATCATACTAATAACAGACATGTTCCTTGACTTTGGGCTGGGTAGCGGGTCAAAAATTAACCTAATGAAAACCAAAATTATGGGACTTGGACGGTGGATCAACAAACCCAATTACCCACTAAACATGCTAGGTACCAACAAACTAAAACTTTACGGCATAACCCACTATAGTAACCCACACACCAACAACGATGATGAATGGAAACAAGTCTTAAGCAAAATCCAAAACACCATAGCACTTTATAAATTTAGCTCAACAACAATTTTTGCTAGGTCATCTATAATTAATAGGTATGTCATCCCAAAAATCACCTATATAGCCACGGCAAAAACAATCCCAAAGCCAACAATTAAACATCTGAATAAAATCATTAGAGAGTACATATTTCAGACCACAATTTCAAACATTAGCCACAACACTTTAGTACAAAACAAACTTCATGGAGGAATAAACTTGCACGATATACAGACCAAAATCAATACATTCAGACTAACACACATTAGCAGAATAATTAGCCAACCAAACTTTCACCCCCTAGCTCACTACTATATAGGCATTCAGCTAAACAAACTTACAAAAATCAATAATACAACTCCACATTACATAGGAGGAAAACTCAGTCCCTTTTACACAGAATGTTTACAAATATTAAAAAAAAACGAAAAACTTGTTAGCAAAAAGTCACAAAACATTTACAAAACGTTAGTGCAAAAGCTCTCAACTCCACTATACAACAGAATTCAATGGTGTAGGAAATACGCTCTAACAGACACAATGGACACCTTCAGAAACCTACACCTCAAAACCATCACACCCAAAGCCAGGGAAATAACTTACAGACTCATCTACAATTCAACCCCCCTAGCAAAACAACAGAAACCATTTTGCCCACTATGCAGACAAAACACACCCGAAACCGAAACGCACATCTATTTAGAATGCCCCACCATACAAAACATGAAAAAGACGCTAGAAAACAAAATAATAAAAAACGAGACCTACAATATCGATATAGTCATAACTCTAAACAAAATCCCAATACAAAGAGATAGGACGGACCTAGAGCAAAAAGCAAGGACGGTAGCTATATATAGACAGACTATTTGGAACAGCAGAATAAAAGCAAAACACGACAAGGTACAGTTCACGGGACACGTACTAGACTTGATTTATCGTAGACGACTCGACAATGACAGCACTCAAACACATATACCATAATTAACAACACCAAAACGTAAAGAACATAATACACTGCTTTTGCCACCTGGAACGCCTAATCGAACTGACACATCCCCCTTTCATCACACCCTCTCCGCCCCCCCCCCCCGCCCCTAAACCTCATGATCCCAATATCAAATTTCCCCTCAAAACTGCATCCCCTCGTCCCCATCACCACCACCCCTGTGATGAAGTACTATGTTAAACAGTGACAATGATGTATTATCCAAATACATTTCTAACAACATCAATGAAACTCCCACCCCTCAACCCCCATGTCCCCACTCTGTGTCGCATCATTTACCATTTGGCATTTCATTTTCCTATTGTTGCTTTTTGTGTATTGTTTAATTTATAAAGCTTACAAACATTGTAAAGCTATCATTTGTTACTATATTACTATTATCATATATGTAAGGTACTTTGGTCCACAACGTACAAATGACCCCAATGACCCGTACTCCTTTTGTATTCATTGTATTATCACCAAATTAACACTTACAGTTGTTTCGTTAACTTTACTAACTCTTTTATGTGAACACCAATTTTTTTATCTATAAAACTCCACTGCATCCCTACACGTGATAGCTACACGCCTACCCACCCCTAACCTGTCGGTACTTAACATTCATCTAAACATAAACACCGACTTGAACATACCAACCTTTCACCCTCCCACTAATTCGCACACACAGCAATCTGTTCGTCAAACCCTCCCCCCCCCCCCCCCCACCCACCCACACACACTACAAATGGTAATACATCAGCAGTCAGATAACACAGCACAAAATTTGACGCTCGGCTTGCCTTAAAACACGCAGTCACCCTCTCCACGCCTCGTCAGACACAGCTACCCACTCCCCCCTCTCCCCCTCTATCCACTTACCCTCAGACATGAAAACACCACTTTCCCTTTAACTGTTCCAACGACCCCACCACCCACCCCAACATCAATTTCGAATATCTATTCATTTACTTTTTAAAGTTCTAAATCTTGTTTCTTTCCCCTCATGTTTTACACAGCAACCTTTTGAAAACTCAATGCGACCAGTACATAAATAAACACTCTTTTAACTAGTCAACTTAATTTGTTTCCCTACATTGAAAATGCTCCACTGGCCCTTTGTCATTCTCGGAAAAATATCCTTTCCACTCCCCACCCAGACTTCTGACACGTTTATTTGACCTTCACCCCTTTTACTGCCATCTTTTGTAATTTTTGTTATAATCATATACATGACATCACGCAAATATTCATTATGTACATGTTCAAAACCTTTCGTTTTCATTTGAAACTATGTAAAAAATGTGATGTTGATGTACTTGTTTTAATTGCAAATAAAAGTATTAAAAAAAAAAAAAAAATATCACTGATCAAGAAAAAAAAAAAAAAAAAAAATAAAGGGACGCTTTTAAAAAAAAATACCGGTAACTGTTTAAAAAAGGGTTCGGCAACCTTTTGAGACCGAAGAGCCAAAAGTTGCAATTAACAATATTTCAGTTTTTAGAGAGCCATATCATTATTTTTCCAATATTTTCGTATCTGATAAGGATTAAGTAAATAAATTTGATTTTTTATTTGAAATAAATAGCGTTAAATCTGAACCAATATTGATTCATATACAAAATATAAATTTTTCGCACAAAATGTTTTCCCTAGCTCTGCTATGATACAATTAATAATCAAATAATATAGCTATATGACAATCCCATTCTACTTTAGAGGCCAATAACTTTTTTTTTTCTTTCTTTACGACATCACCGGCTCAGGAGGTGTCTCCCATAGCCAAGCAGCCCTCACCACGACCAACTCCGACTAACTGGCTTGGGTATCGGTTTGATTACCGTGTATCGGTCGCTTCTGTCCTTCAATTCACACCGGACTTATCTTCCACCCTATTCGTACCCCACAGTCCAGTACCTTGCTCAACCGTTGGAAGCTAATAACTAAAATAATACGTCACTCAGGTCAAATTAATGCATACTGAAAGGTAGATGAATGCATTGTGTATTAAATAACATTCCCCATTTGACTATATTCGAAAAAAGTCGGCACTTGGGCAGTGGCAAGCATGGACTTGTTAACATGGAACTGTCCACAGCACGACTGCGGGGCTGGGCCTGGTGCCTAAGCGGCTGTCAGCTGTCCGTATATTTCTAACTCACCTATTCTCACTGTTCTCTGAAGAGTGTTTTATTTTGTTTAAGTTAAAGTTGTTTTTTTTTAGAGTATAATATTTTTATGAGTATTGATTAAAATATAATTATTAATATTTGTGCATGAATCTGGAGAGCCGCACCCTGACATCAAAAGAGCCGCAGGTTGCCGACCCCTGGTTTAAAACATTGCTATAATTATTGATTAAATATAAAATGATACAATTTGAAAAAAAACATAGTTTACGGTTAGTTATAAATTCCAGCCTATATAATATTATATATTAATACTTCAAGAGTGGTAATATAGATTCCTAAAAAAACTAAAGATTTTTCAGCTAGAGAACGCCCACCTTTTTTTGGTAGTGTGTTCAGTCCTGAATTGAAATCATCTAACTTACGATAAACTCGACTACTCGATAGACTTTACTACATTCCCAACACATATCAAATTTTGATACCTAAACATAACTAAACTCAATGCTCCAGAACTACGACACCAACTCGCTTAACTTCACCAAGCTCTACAAACGACAATCCCAATCCACAACGATTTAATTGGACCTACTACTACAAGTCAACAGTCAACATAATTCGATACCTGAATAGTCCCGAACTCCAGAACTACGATACCTCATTACCTACATTCTCATTTCACTACTACCAATCAAATTTCATTAGACCTTCAACTACACAACAGCCAAATAAAAATAACGACACTTTAACACTTCGATACTTTATACCTACGAAACCATTTCAGCAACAGCCTAAACGATTCATCAAAACTTACCAAACAAGTACAATACTTTGAAAAGCCTGTCATTACAAAACTCTATAGCCTACACCAGAACAGATTTCTAATTCAAAGTCAGAGAAAACGAGATTTACAAGCAATATTAAAAACCAAAACTGCACGTGTTTTGGAACGCCCCGTCATGCGCTGGAGCGGTCACCAAATCAACATTAAAATGAGATAACCGTTTGAAATGTTCGAAATTTAAATTACGAACTTTTTAAATCGTTTTCTACATCAATGAATATGTGACACCAAAATAAAAATGCAAAGTGACTGGTAAAAAGCGCCCCGCCTTTCCAAATTAGGGAGGTGGGGTTGTATTTTTATCATCGCGAATAAATATAGGTTTATATAGACCTTATTTTGGGGTTGGGGTGCAAAATTAATGGTTCGTCCTGGGCGCCGAAATAGATAGCTAAGCCTTTGTATATTACCATCTATAGTTTATAAAAGATAATCAAAGTTATTAATTATTAGGTACTTTTTGATAATAGCGATTTAACCTTTTTGCTCCCCCCCTAGGGATGGCGCCCTAGCAGTGTTTCTTCCAGACTTTTTTTTCGAGGGGGGGGGGGCACTTTAAATTTTGGGTGGGGGCGGTCAACATTTTTCGGGGGGGGGGGGTTGCGGACACTAGTAAAAGTGTATGTTTACTATATAAAATCCATCTCGTTCGGGGGGGGGGGGGGTGCGGTAGACTTTCTTCGGGGGGGGGGGGGGGGATGAGATGCCTGGAAAAAAACTCTGCGCCCTAGGCGACCGCCTAGTTCGCCCAATAGGTAGCGCCGGCCCTGTATTTGTCCAAAGATGTCAAGCCCACCTAAAGCAGAAATGTTTTACCGTTGCAGGCGTCGCTGGCCCAGGACGCATCACTGACAGTTGAACCACTGACAGGTGCGCAGGTGAACCACACCTGCAGGGTGAGGTCTTCAGACGGTGCTCAGAGCTGTGTGGTCAAGGTCTTTCTAGGTAACGTCAAGGTCAGTAGATCGCTTAAGTGTGGTTAGGTTGTAGGGTCATGTGTGTGAGAGGCTCGGTCAAAAGGTCGAGGGGTTTAGTCAAATGGTCGAGGGGGTTTAGTCAATTGGTCGGTGGTTTAGTCAAATGGTCGAGGGGCCTAGTAAAAAAGTCGAGTGGTTTAGTCAAAAAGTCGAGGGGTTTAGTCAAATGGTCTAGTGGTTTAGTCAAAAGATCGAGTGGTTTAGTCAAATGGTCCAGTGGTTTAGTCAAATGGTCGAGTGGTTTAGTCAAATGGTCGAGTGGTTTAATCAAATGGTCGTGGTTTAGTCTAAAGATCGAGTGGTTTAGTCAAATGGTCGAGTGGTTTAGTCAAATGGTCGAGTGGTTTAGTCAAATGGTCGAGTGGTTTAATCAAATGGTCGTGGTTTAGTCTAAAGGTCGAGTGGTTTAGTCAAAAGATCGAGTGGTTTAGTCAACCTGGTTTAGTCAAATGGTCGAGTGGTTTAGTCTAAAGGTCTAGTGGTTTAGTCAAATGGTCGAGTGGTTTAGTCAAATGGTCGAATTGTTTTGTTTGATGGGTAAGTGGGTTTATCAGCATTGTAACCTATTTAACTAATAGTTCATTTTACCCCTCTACCCCGTCCTACGCCCCGACCCCCATGTTTGACCCCCACCCTCCAGTGCCTCGGTCCAGATGCCCCCATAGAAGCCTCCAGATGCCAGAGAGAGAATGACGCCTGCCACTACTTCCTGTCACTGACACCAAACTGCTGCCAACTGCCCTACTTTTGTGATGCCGCCAATAGTCTAGGTCAGTGACCTTGTGCTAATTATAGACCAGTGACAGTATGCTAATTATAGATCGGTCTGTTTATGCTCGCTGTAAGTCAGTCTCATTATGCTAATTATACGCCCGTGACTTTATGCTAATTACAGAATATTTCATGCATGGGTAGTCATCAAGACGAGTACCAATTTTTGTGTTCCAGCATATTTTGGCTCGCTCATTACTTTTGAGATTTGTCAGGTGTATTAATTAATTAATGCGCCTAACATAGAAACGTTAATTAAACATTGATTGGGCAGGATCACATTTTTATAAAGTCAAACTTGATCATTGATAATACTAAAGAGCTTCGAGACAGCGAAGTTTTATTTATTTTACGACACCAATGGTTGAGATAGCGAGGTTTTTATTTACGACATCAATGGTTGAGATAGCGAGGTTTTTATTTACGACATCAATGGTTGAGATAGCGAAGTTTTTATTTACGACATCAATGGTTGAGATAGCGAGGTTTCATTTTGTCGTCAATGGCCGCTCATAACACAGTAAAAAAAAAAACATGCACAAAAAATGTTCGTGACAGAATGCAGAATCTAGTGCAATAAAAATGAGATTTTGTTGCTCAAAATAATTAAGAAAACCCATTAAGGTTTTGCAGGGTTAGCTAATGGGCGGTGAATTTTTGTTAAAAAATGTTCAATTAGTTGAGTGCTTAGTTGAATGATTCGTTGAGTGATCGGATGAGTGATTAGATGAGTGATTAGATGAGTTACTAGTTGAGTGATTAGATGAGTGATTAGATGAGTGATTAGATGAGTGATTAGATGAGTGATGAAATGAGTGATTAGATGAGTGATTAGATGAGTGATTAGTTAAGTGATTAGATGAGTGATTAGATGAGTGATTAGATGAGTGATTAGATGAGTGATTAGATGAGTGATTAGATGAGTGATTAGTTAAGTGATTAGATGAGTGATTAGATGAGTGATGAGATGAGTGATTAGATGAGTGATTAGATGAGTGATTAGATGAGTGATTAGATGAGTGATTAGATGAGTGATTAGATGAGTGATTAGATGAGTGATTAGATGAGTGATTAGATGAGTGATTAGATGAGTGATTAGATGAGTGATTAGATGAGTGATTAGATGAGTGATTAGATGAGTGATCGGATGAGTGGTGAGATGAGTGATTAGATGAGTGATTAGATGAGTGATTAGATGAGTGATTAGATGAGTGATTAGATGAGTGATGAGATGAGTGATTAGATGAGTGATTAGATAAGTAATTGAGTGATTAGATGAGTGATTAGATGAGTGATTAGATGAGTGATTAGATGAGTGATTAGATAAGTGATTAGATGAGTGATTAGATGAGTGATTAGATGAGTGATGTTTGCATGGATTAGGGACCACACCCTCGCCTGCCTGCCCGTAAGAGAAGATGAAGTAGAGTTTACCTGATTTCTGGATCCTCTGCTTAGGTAGGGATTGTGTTGTTCGGGCTACAGAGCATGTATTTCCCCAACTCGAGTCAGGTACGCTTTAGAGCTGAGTTGACCTGTAAGGCTCAAGACACCGGTCAATCCGACGCTAGCAACGAACCAAACGCAGCTTTAAGCAACTAAAGTTGGTCAACAACCTCACTCTCATGTAGGTCATCATAACCTCACATTTGGTTTCATATCCAGTGAATTCAAGAAGAGTTTTTACGTGTGTGAGTTATTTTAAAAATTGTAAACAAAGCACCCACGTGACATTTAACCACAAATCACGTGACAGTTGAAGGGGTGATTATTGGGTCTGTCTGACACATCCCAAAAGGGAAACAATCATCATTCACTGGATATCGAGTAGCGTCCCTTCTCACTGCCCCGATATCACTGAATATCGAGTCGCTTCCCTTGTCATTGCCCTGATATCGCTGAATATCGAGTCGCTTCCCTTGTCATTGCCCTGACAAAAGTCATTCACCGCACTTCGGTCACAGGGACATTTTGTTCTATTGCCGTGATCCGGTCATATTGTAGCCGTGATCCGGTCATATTGTAGCCGTGATCCGGTCATATTGTAGCCGTGATCCGGACATATTGTAGCCGTATTCCGGTTAATATTGTAACCGTATTCCGGCTAATATTGTAGCCGTGATCCGGTCAACGTGTTAGCCGTGATCCGGTCAATTTCTTCGTTTTGATCCGGTCAATAACCGTCAGTAACAGCTCTGGATGATACCCAATGTTATTTTACTAAAGGACCAACATGACATATAATATTCAGCAGTTAATCAGTAAATGGCATTTCAACTAACATGACATTTTACATGGTCGATAACATGACATTTAAATGTCGAATGGGAAAATAAGCTCTCGTTGTGGTGTTTTTAACTCCGAGCTCAAGGAACTTAAGCTCAAAATTGTCTGAAATATGATTTGACCATATGAGTCTGAAGTTTGTAGTTTGTCTGAAATATTTTAACCATATATTTTTGTCCGTAGTTTGAATTTTTTTTACCATATATTTTTGTCTGTACTCTGATATATTTTAACCATTATGTTTAGGTCTGTAGTTTGAAATATTTTAACCATATTTTTGTCTGTAGTTTGTCTGAAATATTTTAACCGTTATATTTTTGTCTGTAGTTTGTCTGAAATATTTTAACCGTTATATTTTTGTCTGTAGTTTGTCTGAAATATTTTAACCGTTATATTTTTGTCTGTAGTTTGTCTGAAATATTTTAACCGTTATATTTTGGTCTGTAGTTTGTCTGAATATTTTAACCACATATGTTTGTATGTAGTTTGTCTGAAATATTCAAACCATATATTTTTGTCTGTAGTTTGTCTGAAATAATTTAACCATATATTTTTGTCTAAAGTTTGTCTGAAATATTTTAACCACATATTTTTGTCTGTAGTTTGTCTGAAATATTTTAACCATATATTTTTGTCTAAAGTTTGTCTGAAAATATTTTAACCGTATATTTTTGTCTGTAGTTTGTCTGAAATATTTTTAACCATATATTTTTGTCTGTAGTTTGTCTGAAATATTTTAAGCATATATTTTTGTCTGTAGTTTGTCTGAAATATTTTAACCGTTATATTTTGGTCTGTAGTTTGTCTGAATATTTTAACCACAAATTTTTGTCTGTAGTTTGTCTGAAATATTCAAACCATATATTTTTGTCTGTAGTTTGTCTGAAATAATTTAACCATATATTTTTGTCTAAAGTTTGTCTGAAATATTTTAACCACATATTTTTGTCTGTAGTTTGTCTGAAATATTTTAACCATATATTTTTGTCTAAAGTTTGTCTGAACATATTTTAACCGTATATTTTTGTCTGTAGTTTGTCTGAAATATTTTTAACCATATATTTTTGTCTGTAGTTTGTCTGAAATATTTTAAGCATATATTTTTGTCTGTAGTTTGAAATATTTTAGCCATATGTTTTTGTCTGTAGTTTGTCTGAAATATTTTAACCATATATTTGTTTCTGTAGTTTGTCTGAAATATTTTAACCATATATTTTTGTCTGTAGTTTGTCTGAAATATTTTAACCATTATATTTTTGTATGTAGTTTGTCTGAAATATTTTTAACCGTTATATTTTTGTCTGTAGTTTGTCTGAAATATTTTAACCATGTGTTTTGTCTGTAGTTCGTCTGAAATATTGTAACCGTTATATTTTTGTCTGTAGTTTGTCTGAAATATTTTAACCATATATTTTTGTCTGTAGTTTGTCTGAAATATTTTAACCATATATTTTTGTCTGTAGTTTGCCTGAAATATTTTAACCATATATTTTTATCTGTAGTTTGTCTGAAATATTTTAACCGTTATATTTTTGTCTGTAGTTTGTCTGAAATATTTTTAACCATATATTTTTGTCTGTAGTTTGTCTGAAATATTTTAAGCATATATTTTTGTCTGTAGTTTGTCTGAAATATTTTAACCGTTATATTTTGGTCTGTAGTTTGTCTGAATATTTTAACCACAAATTTTTGTCTGTAGTTTGTCTGAAATATTCAAACCATATATTTTTGTCTGTAGTTTGTCTGAAATAATTTAACCATATATTTTTGTCTAAAGTTTGTCTGAAATATTTTAACCACATATTTTTGTCTGTAGTTTGTCTGAAATATTTTAACCATATATTTTTGTCTAAAGTTTGTCTGAAAATATTTTAACCGTATATTTTTGTCTGTAGTTTGTCTGAAATATTTTTAACCATATATTTTTGTCTGTAGTTTGTCTGAAATATTTTAAGCATATATTTTTGTCTGTAGTTTGTCTGAAATATTTTAACCGTTATATTTTGGTCTGTAGTTTGTCTGAATATTTTAACCACAAATTTTTGTCTGTAGTTTGTCTGAAATATTCAAACCATATATTTTTGTCTGTAGTTTGTCTGAAATAATTTAACCATATATTTTTGTCTAAAGTTTGTCTGAAATATTTTAACCACATATTTTTGTCTGTAGTTTGTCTGAAATATTTTAACCATATATTTTTGTCTAAAGTTTGTCTGAACATATTTTAACCGTATATTTTTGTCTGTAGTTTGTCTGAAATATTTTTAACCATATATTTTTGTCTGTAGTTTGTCTGAAATATTTTAAGCATATATTTTTGTCTGTAGTTTGAAATATTTTAGCCATATGTTTTTGTCTGTAGTTTGTCTGAAATATTTTAACCATATATTTGTTTCTGTAGTTTGTCTGAAATATTTTAACCATATATTTTTGTCTGTAGTTTGTCTGAAATATTTTAACCATTATATTTTTGTATGTAGTTTGTCTGAAATATTTTTAACCGTTATATTTTTGTCTGTAGTTTGTCTGAAATATTTTAACCATGTGTTTTGTCTGTAGTTCGTCTGAAATATTGTAACCGTTATATTTTTGTCTGTAGTTTGTCTGAAATATTTTAACCATATATTTTTGTCTGTAGTTTGTCTGAAATATTTTAACCATATATTTTTGTCTGTAGTTTGCCTGAAATATTTTAACCATATATTTTTATCTGTAGTTTGTCTGAAATATTTTAACCGTTATATTTTTGTCTGTAGTTTGTCTGAAATATTTTTAACCATATATTTTTGTCTGTAGTTTGTCTGAAATATTTTAAGCATATATTTTTGTCTGTAGTTTGTCTGAAATATTTTAACCGTTATATTTTGGTCTGTAGTTTGTCTGAATATTTTAACCACAAATTTTTGTCTGTAGTTTGTCTGAAATATTCAAACCATATATTTTTGTCTGTAGTTTGTCTGAAATAATTTAACCATATATTTTTGTCTAAAGTTTGTCTGAAATATTTTAACCACATATTTTTGTCTGTAGTTTGTCTGAAATATTTTAACCATATATTTTTGTCTAAAGTTTGTCTGAACATATTTTAACCGTATATTTTTGTCTGTAGTTTGTCTGAAATATTTTTAACCATATATTTTTGTCTGTAGTTTGTCTGAAATATTTTAAGCATATATTTTTGTCTGTAGTTTGAAATATTTTAGCCATATGTTTTTGTCTGTAGTTTGTCTGAAATATTTTAACCATATATTTGTTTCTGTAGTTTGTCTGAAATATTTTAACCATATATTTTTGTCTGTAGTTTGTCTGAAATATTTTAACCATTATATTTTTGTATGTAGTTTGTCTGAAATATTTTTAACCGTTATATTTTTGTCTGTAGTTTGTCTGAAATATTTTAACCATGTGTTTTGTCTGTAGTTCGTCTGAAATATTGTAACCGTTATATTTTTGTCTGTAGTTTGTCTGAAATATTTTAACCATATATTTTTGTCTGTAGTTTGTCTGAAATATTTTAACCATATATTTTTGTCTGTAGTTTGCCTGAAATATTTTAACCATATATTTTTATCTGTAGTTTGTCTGAAATATTTTAACCGTTATATTTTTGTCAGTAGTTTGTCTGAAATATTTTAACCGTTAGATTTTTGTCTGTAGTTTGTCTGAAATATTTTAACCGTTATATTTTTGTCAGTAGTTTGTCTGAAATATTTTAACCGTTAGATTTTTGTCTGTAGTTTGAAATATTTTAACCGTTAGATTTTTGTCTGTAGTTTGCCTCCAGGATTTCCCCGACCATCGGCTCTGGGGTGACGTCTTGTTGCGGTCATGTGACCTACACACCGGTGCTAAAATCGCCGACACTCTGGTGGCCCTGCACTCCTCCTCACACCGGGAGAAACTGGGCGTGGCAGAGTTTCAAGGTCTCCAGCAGAAATTTGGGTCAGTTGCCCGCCCCTAGTTCACAACATCAGTTATAGATTCACAAATTAGTAAAAAAAAAATACAGCACCCAACAAAATTTACAATTAATTTTCTTTCATTGCCATTATTTCCAAAGATTGATTCATCGTTGATTCTCAAATTGTGTTAAATTTACTCACAATTATATTCGAATACAGTTGTTCCATACATGATTTTTATTATTATTAAGAACAATTGACCAGTTGTTTTTAAAGATAATCTTCTTCATTAAGTATTGTTGCATTATTTCCACATTATGAAGTGGATGGCCAACGCTAAATATCTGCATTATAAGCTAAAGCATGAACAACTCTACAGTTTACTACTGTTGCCATTGGTGATTTCCTCCTGAGCTCCTGTACCAACCCACCAACCAGAACGTTCTATTTCTCCCCCCCCCCCCCCAGCCCCCTCCCCCAGCAGACGGCCTATCTCTGTGACCAGCACTTCAACAGACCCTTCCTGGAGGGTCACCGTAACAACAGACCACGTGACGAGGATGTCCGTCTCAAGATGGACGAGGTCATCAAGGACGATGTCGTCATCAAAGCCACAGAGTTGGCCAAGGAATGGATGGCCGTGGCCAGTGGGGACTGTTGTATCCATGGTGACCTGCATGCTGGCTCCATCTTGTACAAGGAAACAGATGGCAGCATCAAGGTATGCTCAACCCCTCATGTATATATGTATGTATGTATGTATGTATGTATGTATATATATATATATATATATATATATATATATATATATATATATATATATATATATATATATATATATATATATATATACATATGTATATATATATATATATATATATATATATATATATATATATATATATATATGTATATATATATATATATATATATATTTATATATATATATATATATATATATATATATATATATTTATATATATATATATATATATATATATATATATATATGAGTGTGTTTGTGTGTGTGTGAGTGTGTTTATATGTATGTTTATATCTACATATCTGGAGAAACTCCATTTTTCTGTAACCACACTGGGTATACAGTACTATACATGCTTAACCAAACCGTGTGACCGGAGAAGGCCACCCCCCCCCCATATGCACACGCCCTAATTCGTTGTCTGAGTATCGAGTGTGATATCTGGTGTCACGTCCGTGGCTATGTGTCACGTCCCTGGCTCAGTGTCACGTCCGTGGCTATGTGTCACGTCCGTGGCTGTGTGTCACGTCCGTGGCTATGTGTCACGTCCCTGGCTCAGTGTCACGTCCGTGGCTATGTGTCACGTCCCTGGCTCAGTGTCACGTCCCTGGCTCAGTGTCACGTCCGTGGCTATGTGTCACGTCCCTGGCTCAGTGTCACGTCCGTGGCTATGTGTCACGTCCGTGGCTATGTGTCACGTCCCTGGCTCAGTGTCACGTCCGTGGCTATGTGTCACGTCCTAGGCTATGTGTCTAGTGTGACCTCTGGTGTCACGTTTAGCCGAGTTGGTCGAAACATACCTGGCCACGTGTCACGTGATTACCGTGATTTATAACACTAGAAGCTTTACGGTGATGGCATCGTAGTCAGAGAAAGATGGAGGCCCGTGGGTGAAGGTCGTTTTATGACCCTGACCTAGATTTCCCTCCCCCTGGGTCTGGAAGCGCTAGTGGGGGTGGGGTGAAAGTGAGCCAATTAAAAAAACGGCCAGACTTGGAGTTAGCCAACTGTTCTCCGATTTCACGATTTTATTCAATGGCTAGAGTTGTCGTTCTTGTTCGTGATCGTTAACTTAATACTGTAGACAGTTATCGTTCTTGTTGGTGATCGTTAACTTAATACTAATAGTGTAGTGTAGACAGTTGTCGTTCTTGTTCGCGCCGGTTTATTGTGAGAAGAATTATTGTTCTTTTCTCTTTACTGCCATTTTATCACATTATTTCCTAACGAGGCTACAACTTCTATACTAAACCAGAGCCATCACTTCCGTACGGTAATAACATGTTCAATTCCGTACGGTAATAATATGCTCAATTCCGTACGGTAATAATATGCTCAATTCCGTACGGTAATAATATGTCTTACAATATAAAATAAATTGTGATCAAGACGTTTATCTCGTTTACATAGCAGCTCAAAGTTTGAATACGCACAATTTGTGAACTTACACAATTTGCGGGCTTACAAAATGTGTGAACTTACACAACTTGTGAATATACACAATTTGTGAACTTGCACAATTTGTGAGCTTACACAATTTGTGAACTTATACAATTTGTGAGCTTACACAATTTGTGAACACACACTCTAAATTCGTCTAAACTCTGACACCAGTCTCTGACTCCAAGCTCTGACTCCAAGCTCTGACTCCAGATTCTGACTCCAGATTCTGACTCCAGACGACCTGGCGTAGAAACTGTGCGACACCAACAAATCGGTCATGAAAGACAAGCTGACATGCGTCGTCACACGAGACATGCCAGATTTTTGTCCCTCATCAAGTCCAGCCTTTCACCGACAGCAAGACTTCATGTGGCCCAGAATCGCTCCTGAACCGTTTTATTTTTAAATATCGCTCTGACATTTAGATCAATGCACCGCCCAATTCCCCCCTCTGGCACTGTGAACTCACCATCAATGTATGTTGTCAGAATCCCCCCTCCACACCTCTCCCTTCCAACCCACAAGATCTCCCAGATTCTAAAACCTAGTTTATTCACATAGCACCGTCAATACTAAAGAAAACATCGGCAGCTGTAAGTGTTTTGTTTCGTAAGATCTACTCTCATTCAACTCGAATCACACATTTCTTGTGACCCATTTCCCGGCTCCATTCATACATTCCACAGTTTCCGATTACCCGGCGAGTTCAAAATGGCGTCCATTACCGCTTGTAAAGAGCAATTTTTCAGTTTCAATTTTTAATGTTAACAAAGGTATCAATTTACAAGGGAAGAGTGTAAAAACGAAATCTGATATGAATCTTAAATGTTTATTTCCTATTAGAGGTTTAAAAAATGGGTTAATTAAAAAAAAAGTTTAATCTTCATTGTGTGGACTGATAGGCGCTTTGCACTTCATATTTAAACTCAACATTCGTTAGACAGCATCCAACATTCATTAGACAGCATCCAACATTTGTTAGACAGCATCCAACATTCGTAAACCAACATGCGTTAAAAAGCATACAACATTTTTTGGACAGCATCCAACATTCTATAGCAGGCATTCAACATTCATTAGAAAGTATACAACATTAAGTAGACAGCATTCAACATTCATGAGAAAGTATACAACATTTATTAGACAGCATCCAACATTAATTAACACCTCTTATATTCGGGTCACTGCGCATATTTTGTGGATTTTATGCAAATAATTAAATTAGTTTCTGCTTTCGTCACCAGCACATTTTATTCTAAACTACGTCATTTTCGATCTTTAGTTCGTTGATGGTCTTCAATTGTTGTGTTTTAGTTGAGAGCTTAAGTTCTCCAATTGTCGTGTTTGAGTTGAGAGCTAAAGTTCTCCAATTGTCGTGTTTGAGTTGTCAGAAAGAGCTTAAGTTCTCCGATTGTCGTGTTTGAGTTGAGAGCTTAAGTTCTCCAATTGTTGTGTTTTGAGTTGAGAGCTTAAGTTCTCCAATAGTCGTGTTTGAGTTGAGAGCTTAAGTGCTCGACTTGTCGTGTTTGAGTTGAGAGCTTAAGTTCTCCAATACTCGTGTTTGAGTTGAGAGCTTAAGTGCTCGACTTGTCGTGTTTGAGTTGAGAGCTTAAGTTCTCTAATTGTCTTGTTTGAGTTGAGAGCTCAAGTTCTCCAATTGTCGTGTTTGAGTTGAAAGCTTAAATTCTCCAATAGTCGTGTTTGAGTTGAGAGCTTAAGTTCTCTAATTGTCGTATTTGAGTTGAGAGCTTAAATTCTCCAATAGTCGTGTTTGAGTTGAGAGCTTAAATTCTCCAATAGTCGTGTTTGAGTTGAGAGCTTAAGTTCTCTAATTGTCGTGTTTGAGTTGAGAGCTTAAGTGCTCGACTTGTCGTGTTTGAGTTGAGAGCTTAAGTTCTCTAATTGTCGTGTTTGAGTTGAGAGCTTAAATTCTCCAATAGTCGTGTTTGAGTTGAGAGCTTAAGTGCTCGACTTGTCGTGTTTGAGTTGAGAGCTTAAGTTCTCTACCTGTCGTGTTTGAGTTGAGAGCTTAAGTTCTCTACCTGTCGTGTTTGAGTTGAGAGCTTAAGTTCTCTACCTGTCGTGTTTTTGTTCTGGAGCTGATCGACACAGAGAGCAGCAGGATTGGACCCCCAGCCTTCGACCTCGCCCTGCTGATCTGCAACTACGTGCTGCTGTACCACTACCACCAGGACATGTGTCACGTGGTTCCCGCCCCAGACAAGACGGACCACTCCCAGCTCATGACCGACACGCTGGACCTTATATGTATCACAAGTAAGTGACATGTCTATCATGTATCACAAGTAAGTGACATGTCTCTCATGTATCACAAGTAAGTGACATGTCTATCATGTATCACAAGTAAGTGACATGTCTATCATGTATCACAAGTAAGTGACATGTCTATCATGTATCACAAGTAAGTGACATGTCTCTCATGTATCACAAGTAAGTGACATGTCTCTCATGTATCACAAGTAAGTGACGTGTCTATCATGTATCACAAGTAAGTGACGTGTCTATCATGTATCACAAGTAAGTGACATGTCTATCATGTATCACAAGTAAGTGACATGTCTCTAATGTATCACAAGTAAGTGACATGTCTCTAATGTATCACAAGTAAGTGACATGTTTCTCATGTATCACAAGTAAGTGACATGTTTCTCATGTATCACAAGTAAGTGACATGTCTATCATGTATCACAAGTAAGTGACATGTTTCTCATGTATCACAAGTAAGTGACATGTTTCTCATGTATCACAAGTAAGTGACATGTATCTCATGTATCACAAGTAAGTGACATGTCTCTAATGTATCACAAGTAAGTGACATGTCTATCATGTATCACAAGTAAGTGACATATTTCTCATGTATCACAAGTAAGTGACATGTTTCTCATGTATCACAAGTAAGTGACATGTTTCTCATGTATCACAAGTAAGTGACATGTCTATCATGTATCACAAGTAAGTGACATGTCTCTCATGTATCACAAGTAAGTGACATGTTTCTCATGTATCACAAGTAAGTGACATGTCTCTCAAATTTTAAAATTTAAATGGTAAAACTCTTAATTTAAGCATCAATGAATTACGCTTTTTAATCAAATTTAACCCATTCCCCAAAGGCTAATTAAGTTTACTTAACCCTCCCCCCTCCCACCCCCACAGTGTCGCGGTACATGGAGGGGATGAGCCGCGCCCTACAGGACAAGTGGGACAAGCACGGAGTGTGGAGGCAGATCCTGCTCATGCTGGGGGTGGAGATCATTGCTTGGTAGGTCGTCGACACTCCACTCATGCACTCCACACTCATACACACAACACTCATACACTTCACATTCATACACTCCACACTCATACACTCCACACTCATACACTCCACACTCATACACTCCACACTCATACACTCCACACTCATACACTCCACACTCATACACTCCACACTCATACACTCCACACTCATACACTCCACACTCATACACTCCACACTCATACACTCCACACTCATACACTCCACACTCATACACTCCACACTCATACACTCCACACTCTTACACTCCACACTCATACACTCCACACTCATACACTCCACACTCATACACTCCACACTCATACACTCCACATTCATACACTCAACATTCATACACTCCACACTCATACACTCCACACTCATACACTCCTCACTCATACACTCCTCACTCATACACTCCACACTCATACACTCCACCTTCATACACTCCACATTCATACACTCAACATTCATACACTCCACACTCATAAACTCCACACCATACACTCCACACTCATACACTCCACACTCATACACTCCACCTTCATACACTCCACACTCATACACTCCTCACTCCTCACTCATACACTCCACACTCATACACTCCACACTCATATACTCCACAACCATATACTCCACACTCATACACTCCACACTCATACACTCCACACTCATACACTCCACAACCATATACTCCACACTCATACACTCCACATTCATACACTCCACACTCATACACTCCACACTCATACACTCCACATTCATACACTCCACACTCATACACTCCACACTCATACACTCCACATTCATACACTCCACACTCATACACTCCACACTCCACACTCATACACTCCACACTCATACACTCCACACTCATACACTCCACACTCATACACTCCACAACCATATACTCCACACTCATACACTCCACATTCATACACTCCACACTCATACACTCCACACTCATACACTCCACATTCATACACTCCACACTCATACACTCCACACTCATACACTCCACATTCATACACTCCACACTCATACACTCCACACTCATACACTCCACATTCATACACTCCACACTCATACACTCCACACTCATACACTCCACATTCATACACTCCACACTCATACACTCCACACTCATACACTCCACACTCATACACTCCACACTCATACACTCCACACTCATACACTCCACACTCATACACCCCCTTCAAAACACTCCTCAGTTTCCCGATTGGTCTGATATATTTACAATGACATTATTGTTAACACTAACATTTGAAATGTTATTATTTAAAAATCTTTTCTTGAATCCAGTTTTTAACCAGATAAAAATACAATGTAGACAATGTTATGGTAAACAGTACACCAAGGTGAAGGCCACGTGGAAGTTATGGCGTCAGTTAATTAGGATGTGAGAGCTAAGTTTTCTTACACGCAACAGTGGCTGCACTAAGTTCTAACCTTGACCTTTTACCTCCATCTCCAATATCTCGATCTCAACCACTCCACCACCCCCCGTCCTCCCTTACACACAACATACAAACACATAAACACACACACACACACACACACACACACACACACACACACACACACACCCATAGTCGGCAGAAACACATTTTGAGTCGCCATTCAACCGTGTAAACCGGATAATCACGGCTCGGTGAATGGGATTGGCGCAACAGAGCATGCGCAGAAACGACTGAATTGTTTCATTGGCTAATGTCATTAGATGTCACGTGACGCTTAGACGTGATTTATTCACACACACGTAAACACACATGTACACACACATTTACACGCACACACACATCTAGCCAGTAGCCCCCCCTCCCCCACCCGCTCCCGCGCACTTGAGGTAGTCGTGTCGATACAATAAGACGTGACGTCATCTAACTGCCATTCTTTACTCTCGTCACGGTCGACATCACCATCGATCAATTAATTAACAGTTAATTACTGACACTGCAGATGTCACTGACAGGTGAAAAACCCTTGTCTCTCATTCTATCAGTTTGTCCGTCTGTCTGTCCGTCCGTTCCTCTGTTAGTCTTTCTGTCTGTCCGTCTGTCTATCGGTCGGTCTTTCTGTCTGTATGTCTGTCCGTCTGTCTTTCTGTCGGTCCGTCTGTCTATCGGTCCGTCTGTCTATCGGTCAGTCTTTCTGTCTGTCCGTCTGTCTGTCTGTCTTTCTGTCTGTCTGTCGTTTTGTCCTCCAGTTCGGCCGTGCATATGTTCCAGTAATTCGATCGTCCCATAGCGGGAAGTCTCAATTAGCCCATGGAGCTAAGCGCTATCGCTACAAATCTAGACATTCAGGAACTCTATTTTTTTGCGTCCTTTGGGTAGAATCAATCATCTCTATGAGGAAGGGAACTTATTTGAGATTTCATTATACTAGACATTCAAATAAACGACTAGCCACTCACCAACCAACTACCTACAGCCAAACTGTTAGTCCCCCCCACCCACCAACTCCCTACAACCAAACTACTAGCCACCCACCCACTGACCCCCCCCCCCCCCCCATAGACACATACATCAACCAACTCCCTACAGCTAAACTGTTAGCCCCCCCCCCCACACACACACATACGAACCAACCAACTCCTTACAACCAAACTGTTAGCCCCCCCCCCCCACCCACCCACTCACCAATCAGCTCCCAACGTTGTTTACTTGCAGGATCTCCGGCTCCCAATCCTTCGACAGCTTGGAGCTGCAGCCCAGAGCCCAGCTTAACTGCCTCAACACGGCTCTCAGGATCATCCACAAGCAAAGCTTATCCCTGGACACCAAGGGATTATCCAGGCTAATCAACAACCAACATTAATTAGTTTAAACTAGTTACAATTTAAATTTATTTGCTCTGTTTGCAGTGCTAGCCAAATTTTCTCGACTAGCCTCCAAACTTTCCCAACAGAAACCCACATTCAATTTGACGTCACGGCTTAGTGCAAACACGGCTATCAATTCCCAGCTATCTTATGTCAGCCATGCTTCATGTCATTTACTAATTAATTATTCAAATGACAATATTGTTGTTGGCGCGTGGGGCTAGCACGTTCTAACGTGTCTGCTGCTCGTTATGTCTGTCACGTGATGTCTGTCGCTAAGTGTGTCTGTCACGTGATGTCTGTCGCTAAGTGTGTCTGTCACGTGATGTCTGCCGCTAGGTGTGTCTGTCACGTGATGTCTGTCGCTAGGTGTGTCTGTCACGTGATGTCTGTCGCTAGGTGTGTCTGTCACGTGATGTCTGTCGCTAGGTGTGTCTGTCACGTGATGTCTGCCGCTAGGTGTGTCTGTCACGTGATGTCTATCGCTAGGTGTGTCTGTCACGTGATGTCTGCCGCTAGGTGTGTCTGTCACGTGTCTGTAGCTAGGTGTGTCTGTCACGTGATGTCTGTCGCTAGGTGTGTTTGTCACGTGATGTCTATCGCTAGGTGTGTCTGTCACGTGATGTCTGCCGCTAGGTGTGTCTGTCACGTGTCTGTAGCTAGGTGTGTCTGTCACGTGTCTGTAGCTAGGTGTGTCTGTCACGTGATGTCTGTCGCTAGGTGTGTCTGTCACGTGATGTCTATCGCTAGGTATGTCTCTAATGTGACAATGGCCCCAGCTTTATTTGTCTCGCTATAATTACTAGACAAGTTGTTTACAACAAAATATTTTTACCATTCTTTACATACTTTGTATTATTTTTTTTTCTGAATTTCTGTAAAACCTGAAAGCTTAAAAGCTATGAATGTTAGCTTTTCACTTTAAGTCATTTAAGGCATATCCATCATTCACACAACACAGCACATAAGACATTCCCTCTCACATGTAGAAAACATCACCCCCACACATTAACAAAACATCAACCCCACACATGTAGAAAACATCACCCCCACACATTAACAAAACATCACCCCACACATGTAAAAAACATCACCCCCACACATTAACAAAAAATTCACCCCACTAAAAACACTCTCCGGTTGCCTGCTGCATAGTACCCGATTCATGTCAATTTAATGAAAAAATATTTTTTTAGATTTCCCACGTTTTAGAACGTTTGTTTGTTCTATGCTGTAGTTTGATTGGGGGGGGGGGGGGCTGGCTCTGTTGTGTGGTGGTGTCCTGTGTAGCCCTGGTAGCGGGGGTGTGGCAAGCCCTCTGTACTGTGGTCACGTGTCACCCGTACAACCCAATGCTGTGAAAAATGTTGATCGATCTCATGTTGGCCATGTTTGATTGCTGAACTGATAAGATTGATCTCGCAGTAAATATTTCAATGTGCATGAACAATGTAAAAAATATGCTTTAAAATTTTAATTGCTCGGGTTGGTTGTGGAGTGAGCAGGAATTCAATGATCTCAACTTTTCCCCCCACTCCCCCCTGGGGTGTGTGGGTGTGTGTGTGTGAGGGGGCATCTTACCAGTATGGTGCCAACCAAAGATGTACCTGATAAATAGATGCTTAAATTCTAAAGCTGTATAAAATAGGTCCCATGTAACAATTGTGTTACATGTAAAGTTTCCACTGGTGTTTTAGATTGATGAGACATGTATTGACCTAAATCTTGTCTTAGACACGTTGAATCTCTGCCACTGTCACACAAGAGCTTAGATCTCCCCACTGTCACAGAGGAGCTTAGATCTCCCCACTGTCACAGAGGAGCTTAGATCTCCCCACTATCACAGAGGAGCTTAGATCTCCCCACTGTCACAGAGGAGCTTAGATCTCTGGCCCCCAACTGTCACAGAGGAGCTTAGATCTCCCCACTGTCACAGAGGAGCTTAGATCTCCCCACTATCACAGAGGAGCTTAGATCTCCCCACTGTCACAGAGGAGCTTAGATCTCTGGACCCAACTGTCACAGAGGAGCTTAGATCTCCCCACTGTTACAGAGGAGCTTAGATCTCCCCACTGTCACAGAGGAGCTTAGATATCCCCACTGTCACAGAGGAGCTTAGATCTCCCCACTGTCACAGAGGAGCTTAGATCTCCCCACTGTCACAGAGGAGCTTAGATCTCCCCACTGTCACAGAGGAGCTTAGATCTCCCCACTGTCACAGAGGAGCTTAGATCTCCCCACTGTCACAGAGGAGCTTAGATATCCCCACTGTCACAGAGGAGCTTAGATCTCTGTCATAGAGGAGCTCAGATTTCGGTGCCACGACAACACCGTCCACCATTTCGTCATTCCAGTTTCTCTGGGCTTTCAACAACATTCTTCTACCGCTTGCTCCGTTCGGTGTCAAGCTTATTTTAAGCTATCAGGAACACCCTGATCAAAAACACGTTGTTCAGGAACACCCAGTTCAGAAGCACGCTGTTCAGGAATACTCTATTTAGGAACACACTGTTTATGAACAAAGTGTTCAAGAACACGCCGTTCAAGAATATGCTGTTCAAGACCATTGTGCATGAACACGTCGTTGTGGAAGACGCCGTTCATGAACACGATGTTTCTGAAAACACGTTTCGGGATGAACTTGTTCAGGTTGAAGAAGTTTGTGAATAACTTGTTAAAAATGGCCTGTATAGGAATAACCTGTATAGGAACAAGTTCGGTAACAAACCGTTCATGAACCATTTTGCTTAAATTTTCAATGTGCTTAAAATTAAAGATCACGTATATTTTATGGGCTATTTATAGTAACATAGAATTATAAAATTCTAAAAAATTTATAACAATTAATTGTATTTGCAATATTAATTTTATTTTTTAATATATCTATTTATTCCTAATGTTGAAACAAATGAAATAAATAAATAAATATAAAATTAATTACTTCGTTTTTTTCCACAAGCTAAACATATCGTGTTGTCGCCTGAATTTGATTGGTTGAAATGTGAATTATATCCCCCATTGGGTATTGACCGTGTATAATTAGAGCTTTCAATATTAGCAGACGGTAAGGGTGAACTCTACTCCAATCCACTTTCTACGAGATCCATCGCTTCTAATCTCACATTTCTGCGCATGACAGAACAAAGTTATTCCCGCCTAATCTCGTGTTCACGCCACTGCGCATGCGTACCGACATCACGTGATTGCTAAAATTAAGCAATAGGGGAAGGAATTAGAAAACTTTAGAGCTGAATACAAGGGAGGCAATTCAATTGATTTGCGGGGTGGATTGATGGTGGATGGTGGAGTAGTGTTGGTATATTGGTGGATGGTGGAGTAGTGTTGGGATATTGGTGGATGGTGGAGTAGTGTTGGGATATTGGTGGATGGTGTTGGAATATTGGTGGATGGTGGCGTGGTGTTGGGATATTGGTGAATGGTGGAGTAGTGTTGGGATATTGGTGGATGGTGGAGTAGTGTTGGGATATTGGTGGATGGTGGAGTAGTGTTGGTATATTGGTGGATGGTGGAGTAGTGTTGGGATATTGGTGGATGGTGTTGGAATATTGGTGGATGGTGGCGGGGTGTAGGTAGATGGACGAAAGGTAGATGTACAGGTAGATGTACAGGTAGATGTACAGGTAAATGTACAGGTAGATGGACGAAAGGTAGATGTACAGGTAGATGTACAGGTAGATGTACAGGTAGATGTACAGGTAGATGTACAGGTAGATGTACAGGTAGATGTACAGGTAGAGGGACAGGTAGATGTACAGGTAGATGTACAGGTAGATGTACAGGTAGATGTACAGGTAGATGTACAGGTAGATGTACAGGTAGAGGGACAGGTAGATGTACAGGTAGATGTACAGGTAGATGTACAGGTAGATGGACAGGTAGATGTACAGGTAGATGTACAGGTAGATGTACAGGTAGATGAACAGGTAGAGGGACAGGTAGATGTACAGGTAGATGTACAGGTAGATGTACAGGTAGATGTACAGGTAGATGTACAGGTAGATGTGCAGGTAGATGTACAGGTAGATGTACAGGTAGATGTACAGGTAGATGTACAGGTAGCTGGACAGGTAGATGTACAGGTAGATGTACAGGTAGATGTACAGGTACATGCGTGACGACAGACGGAGATGCATCAGAGGTTAAACTAACCTGTCAAGACCTGTTGTAACGAAATTGTTTTTTTTAACTGCTACATCAGATAGGATGGGGGGGGGGGGATGGGTTGTTATTGTCTACATCTGATAGGCGTTGTGGGGGGGGGGGGGGGCTCCCTGGGATGGGTTGTGATTGTCTCTAATTGTATGTTGTGGGGTGGTAGATGGAGGGGAAGAAACTGACTGCGACACATGAGGGCGGGGAGGGGGAGGAGGGAGGCTGCTGTGTGAAACCAGGCGAGGAATTGATTTATTGGCGAATGGCGAACATTTTCACCTGGGACTGGCGAGCCGGGGGTGGGGGTGGGAGGAGGAGTGAGCTATTCCTGGGCTGTACTGGGGTTGTCATTAGGTGACCCGTGACCCAGACAAGGTCTGCTGTGGAGTGGGGCAGGCTGGGGCATACTGACCCGCAAACCTGGAGATAGTTGGCATGGTTACCTGGGTTAAGGGTGGGGAAGTGTTGGGGGGGGGGGCGACTGGACGACGCCACAGGTAACTAGACGACAGCCACAGGTCCTGCTGTCCACTCCTGTTGTCCGACAACACCACTGCCAACACTGGCTATTGAAATCGAAAGTAGCCGTCATCCTGACCTGTGTGAACTCCCCGGCAAAATGAGCGGTTTGCGCATGCGTGTAGGGGAGATGACAGACATTAAGTCACGTGATAGCGGCGATCAGATCAGGTAACGCTTGATTAGCCAGACCGGAGGAGAAATCAGAGACCCTAATTAAGGTTCATACATCAGCACGGCACTGTCTGGGTACCTTACTGTGGCGGTGTGTTGTGGACATTGGTAGACTAATTATAGACCTCTGTACATATGGTAGACTAATTATAGACCTTTATTTTTTTGGTCTTAAGGACTTTTTTCACTTAGGGGGGAGGGGGGTGTAAATAGGCGTCGAATTGGATGTGTGGGTTCAGTGTGTGAGTTCCGTGTGTGGGTTTAATGTGTGTGTCTAACCAAAAATTGTGTCGAATATAAAAATCACGAGTCGTCCCAAATGAACAATGCTGCACTCGCTATGATGAAACCCACTGACAAGACCTCTAAACAAACTGTGAAGGTGGTTTTCAATGTCAGAATTGTGGTTTCACAACTCAGACAAATACACTTGTGGTTTGATTGAATCAATATAATATCATCATGGGCTGGGTTTTTAAAAAGTTGAAACGTTTTTTTTTAATCGGCTGAATAATTCAGGCAAAGCTCGGTTATCTTCGCTTGTCAGTCACTGACACGCCCACCCCGTTATGTTTTTCTTGGCTTTAGTGGACTGTGGCTTGGGGGGGGGGGGGGGGGGGGGTGTGGAGAAAGTTCTAGAAAGTTGCCAGACTGAAGGGAAGGAATGTTGGTGGGGCGCCAAAAAAAGTTGAACACATTATTTAATTTAAAACATTTAAAAAAAAAAAACTACTTTATAATAAATACGCTTTTAAATCCACAGAAAATTAAAAAGAACAATACATTTTTTAAAAAATACCTGCTTATTTAAACAAAATAACTGGTTGCTTAAGAATCTATCACCTTTTAGCGATAATCCTAGTCGTGAAATAATTTCATTTGTATGTTAGTAACATTGTTACAAAGTGTTACTGGAGGGTAGATGTTAAATGAAAAAGTGATGTAAGCAAAATTGTGTGCCACTTAAAACAGCCGCTGATAAAATGTCTCCACCCAACCAACCGAATCCAATGGACTCAATCAGAAGGGCATCAGCACAGCTATCCACAATAGAGCCCTGTTGTTATGGCCTGCGACATAATGGCTCCAGACATCAAGCCCATGGCGTGGAATAAACTTCTAACTGGCATCAATCAGCTGACGTAAATTAAGCCTTTCCCATATTTTGGTTTTGGAATTTCTGTCCCTGAAGAGTTGCTGTCTCCAGCTATAGAGCCTCATCTGCCCGGGGGTTTGAACTCGGGACTTTTCGGTTTAACAACGATCAGCTTTACCAACTCGACCACTCTGCTTCACTGATAACTGATATATTTCAAGTTTGTTTTGGCCTACCTACTTTCCTTGGATTATATCAATATAGGTCCTGTCTGCTGCTGTTGTTCAAATTATACTTTACCAGTGCTTGTCTTCAAAGGTCTAACAACGTTTATCTATAGAAATAATTGGGTATTACAATAAAATGAGTCAATATCTGTTTTACAAACGTTTTTATTTAATAACAATTTGATTTTAATTCTTTAATACTGTTTAACCTTTGGAGCCGAAGGAAGCAATGTTTGAAATGGATGAAGCGATTGAATATATTTGTGAAGTCAAGGAACATGGGTGGTTCATATCAATGGAACAACTGGGCGAACTATGGAACAAATGGACGAACTATGGAACAAATGGTCTAAGCTAGGGAACAACTGAATGGATCAATGAAAAAAAAGTGTATTGTTGTAGTGACACCAAAGTCTTGACGGGGCCAATGTCAAAACATGTTCAAGGCCATTAGAATTTCAGTCCAGTAACAATGATGTCAGGGCAGTAACAATGATGTCAGGGCAGTAACAATGATGTGAGGGCAGTAACAATGATGTGAGGTCAGTAACAATGATGTCAGGGCAGTAACAATGATGTCAGGGCAGTAACAATGATGTGAGTCCAGTAACAATGATGTGAGGTCAGTAATAGCGAAGACGTACAGCGATAAGTTACAATGAATGAATGTAGTATTACATACAAATGTAACATTAAATACAAATGTAACAAAATGTAACAATGAATAAAGTCATGTAATAAGACAACAGACGAATGACGGAGGATTGGAAGAATAGAAAGGCAAAATGGCAGGCAACATTAGCCAACTGTGGGGAAACAACGGTCGGTGGCGTGTGGTAAACATTTGGCTGGCACAATAGAAAACAATGGTCAGCGGGTAGTAAATAATTGACTGTCACAGGTGTAAACAATGGACTGTCACAGTTTTAAATAACAGACTGTCACGGTAGTCAAAATGAAATGGTCCAGGTATTGGCAGTGATCATTCGAAGAGTTTGAGTTTCTAAAGATTCAAGGGAAACAATCAATACATTTTTAAAAAGATATTTAGATCAAAATTTCTTATCTCACTTTAGCAACCAACAAAAAATCCCTATGCAATATTCCATACACATGTATATTCTTTAGGTAATGGTGAGTTATCAATCAAAGCGACATGGAAATATTCGCTTTTAAAACCAGATCAGAAACGTTTAACGGCAATTATCTGCCCGTTATGAGCCTCGACTGTGTGAACAATAAACACAGTTCACCTAACTGATCGAGTATCGCTACTATCTTGTTATCTCCCTTTTGGTATTGAATCTTTAAATACATTTTTAGTGACTAAATTAATATAGAAGTGGATTAAAATTATACATTCTTGTATTATCATCGGATAATATCGCTGCATTAGAAGTCGGTTCAAACTGAGATAAGAGGGTTAGACAACAAAATCACCCATAAACAATTATTGTGAGTTTAAAAAAATATAAACTGTGTTCAAATGTCAAACATAACATCAACAGTGTATGTAATCAACATGTTCGTGTATATCAACAATGTATGTAATCAACATGTTCGTGTGTATCAACAATGTATGTAATCAACATGTTCGTGTGTATCAACAATGTATGTAATCAACATGTTCGTGTGTATCAACATTGTATGTAATCAACATGTTCGTGTGTATCAACAATGTATGTAATCAACATGTTCGTGTGTATCAACAATGTATGTAATCAACATGTTCGTGTCAACAATGTATGTAATCAACATGTTCGTGTGTATCAACAATGTATGTAATCAACATGTTCGTGTGTATCAACAATGTATGTAATCAACATGTTCGTGTGTATCAACAATGTATGTAATCAACATGTTCGTGTGTATCAACAATGTATGTAATCAACATGTTCGTGTGTATCAACAATGTATGTAATCAACATGTTCGTGTCAACAATGTCTTAATTTTTGTGACGTTTGGTTTCTGGGCTGCTGATCTTGGCAATCCACTTGGCGGCCATCGACTGAGGTCGGCGGTGTTCGGTCGACCGTCTGCCCTCCTCGTTGATGCCCTCTGCCCGCAGGAGACTGAACTCCGGACTGGAGCTCTTCAGGATGTTCTCTGACGACTGTGCCAGCTGCGTCTGGTTGACGATGCCCTTGACCGTGTGTCTGTAGGGGGAGAACCGCGTGAACGGGATGGCCAAGCTCTCCACGTCTTCGTCCGGAGATCGAATCTCGCTGTGCACCGTCTCCTGCCTCAGCCTCCTCTTCTTCTCCGCCTCCTCCAGCAGCCTCCCCAGGTCCTCAGCAGACTTGAGCAGCAACGTCTTGGTGCCAGCCGCCACACGACTCGGCCGGCGGTTGTAGCGGATGGACGCTCGCTTGACGGCGTCGTCCAGATCGTCCCACGGGTTGTCGTAGTCGCTCTCGTCACTTCCGTTGTTGTCTTTCTCGACATCGTCGCTCGGTATGGACAGAAACGGTTTTTTTTTCCTTGCCACCGATTTCCGTATCGCTGTTTTCCTCGTCAGATTTCTCGTCATCAGAATCAACAATCAGAATTGGGATACGACTTTTGTCCCCCGTGACCTCTTCTGCTTGATGGCTTCTAGATTCTTCGCTTTTCACCTTATTTCTAAGAACAGTTCTAGGCATAGCGACAGGTTTCGCAGGTTTGTCCGGCACCACGGCAGGTTTGTCCGGCACCACGGCAGGTTTGTCCGGCACCACGGCAGGTTTGTCCGGCACCACGGCTGGTTTGTCCGACTCTGGTCTCCCACCTGTGATGACGCCGGTGGCCGTGTTGCCTGTGATGACGCCGGTGGCCGTGTTACTTGTGATGACGCCGGTGGCCGTGTTGCCTGTGATGACGCCGGTGGCCGTATTGCTTGTATTGAATATCATGGCCCTCCTCCTATTTACCTGTCCAGCCTGGCCAGAGTCATGCGTCATCCTTGTTCTAGCGATGGGCGAACCTTTAGACTCTGACTCCTCGACATTCTTCCCACAATCCTCAGCAGGAATTCGCTGTCTGTTCGGCTCATCACAGCCGCCATCTTGTGCTAGAGGAGATGAAAGGTTTGCCGCCATGTTGTTGTTGGTTGCTATGTTCAGATCTGTTCCTGCCGAGTTCTCTTCCCCTGACTCTTTAACAGAAAAACTGATCTTTGATTCAGTGTCAGATACCAGGTTATTGCCCCTGTCATGTGAAGATAACTCCGCATTCTTCACATTATCGGCCGAATTATCGCTGCTTTCTTTAAGCGAATTTCTAGATAAGACATTCTCTAAGACAGCTTTAGCATTCAATGAATGTCTGGTAGGTTTTGGCACATCGCTGCTATAGAGCGTCGCGTTTGTTCTGTGTAAAGAAACGGTTTTCTCCACCCCGTCCTGGGATTTGAACTCTGGGCTTGTAGATGAAGACGTGGGAACACTGTCTTGGTCGGGAGATTTTCGCTGCGAGCTGTCTTTGATGCCTGACGTCTCCACTTGAAGGGCGGATGTCGTGTTGAGCTGACAGTGCTCAACTTCAGTGGTGGCCGGACTGTTTGTCTCAAGGCCGCTCGTGTTGTCAAACTGTTCGGATAGAGGTTCGCTACTTTCGTTTTCTTGCGAGGTGCCCGTGTTTACATCAGGCTCTGTGCCTGCCTCAATGCCCGGCTCTATGCCCGTCTTAATGCCCGGCTCTATGCCCGGCTCTATGCCCGGCACAGTGCCCGGCTCTATGCCCGGCTCTATGCCCGGCTCTATGCCCGGCTGAGCAGGCTGGTCGAGTTGTCTAATCTCGTGTACAGTGAGTCTGGGCCTGTGCACGAATCTTTCCTTCTTCAGACTTCTGGCGTCAATAACAGACATCCTCCTCACAATGTGAGAATCTTCGGGCGACTCTAGGATCACACTCTGGAGAAACATGGGTTCAGAGAATCTTTTCCTCAGCTCGTCCGTCTCCGTGTTGATCAGCTTGGCCTTGGCGGCGAACGATTGCTCCAGCATCCTCTCCTTCAGGTTGCTGCCGTTCTCGGTCATCACTTCCGTGTTGTGTTTGAAGATGGCGTGCTTGAGGGCGTTCAGACCCTGGTAGTATCCGCTGAAAGGGTTGAACACCGGCTTCTGGGGTTCAAGGCTGGTCAGGCAGGTCACGTGGGGCGTGGTGATCTCGTCTTTTGGGTCCTGGAAATGGACGTTGATCTGGAGGTTGAGGCTGATGGTCTTAGAGCTGGTGGGGTGAGCAGACGGCTCGTGCCGGGCCTTGCAGGAGTACGACCTCCGCATGATGACGCCGTCACGTTCGTCGGCGGACGGCCGCGTGACGTCAGCTAACGTCTGCTCTACGGTCACGTGTGAGGGCGACTGGTCAGCGACCAGGCTGGAGGGCAGCTCAATGCTGACGGGGAGGGTCAAACTGTTGGACAGCGTGCTCGACGGGGATGGGGCAATGACGTCACACTCAGTGGAGATGACGTCACACTCCTTGGTGATGACGTCGCACTCGTTAATCTCCGTATCCTGGTTTCTGTTCTTTGTATCAGTTTGCCCGTAACAGATCACGTGATCGCTGTGAGATTTGACCATGTGAGCGTCCTTGAACTTGGCGACTGCATGAACATTGCTATGGCCAATGTTGGAACCGTTGCCTACAAGCGGAACACGGCTGGAGAAAATCTCTGTGCTGGAAGTTCTACGGAGTCTGCTGTTTTTTCTGTGCGGGTTGGACGGGACCTCGTCAGACCGGGGCAGGCTGGTCCGCGGCAACTTGCTGCCGTTGGCCGTGTGGCCCAGCTCGTGGCTGAAGCTGCACCGCGTCGAGTGACAGAAGGAGTAGTTGGCCGGGGGCGTCTTGATGGACGCGCGGTGAATCTTCAGCCCGCTTTCTTCCAGCAAAGGCTTCTCGTACTGCCCTTTGTGGTTTGTGTTTTTCTGAGGTAGCTCCACGGCTTGACAGTAATCAGGACTGGTGGAAGACGCTTGACCAGACGGTGACGCCGGGTCGTTGACCGCTTCCCTTAAGTCGTCATGGATGGTGGGTAGAGGCTTCAGATCGTTCTGGATGTTGTGCTGCTGGTTGAGCTCCTGCACGCGCAACTTCCGGTTCATTTTAGTCTTCTGCTTCTCGCTGCTCCACTTCTTGTTGGCGGCGATGCCAGCCGCCGCCGTCCCGCCCGCATTGTTGAGCTTGACGGAGCTGGTGCGGCGGTTGTAGTCGTACGTGTCGGAACTTTTCCCCGGGGCGGCGCTGGAGTCGTGGACCCCGCTTGGCCCGTCCTCCCACATGGCCCAGTTGTTGGCATTGCTGGACATACGGCCGTCGTAGGAGAGCTCGCTGAAGACAGACTCGGGGTCCGCGAGGGGGGGCTTGCTGAGCAGGTCCTCCAGGGGGATACGGTCCTTGCTCTTGCCATACCTGCTGTAGTGGCCTTGGGGCGAGTCTTTCCTGCAACGGTCAAATCATTTCACTCAATCAATTGCTTTCTAAATACTAGGGTGTTGCTTTGTTTGGAAAGATCTTGTAATGAGAAATTTTAACATGAGATATCTTTTCTCTGAGATATTTGTCTTAAGATATTTTGTCATGTCATTATTTTAAAACTAAATTAGGTGGAATTAGGGAAATATATAAACAAATTATAATGAATAAACATTTGTGTTTTATACAGGTAGGTGGTGTTTGGTGCTTTATACAGGTAGACGGGCTGAAGCTACAACTTACTTGCAACACAAGCAAGATATTGTTGTTAAAACGAGGGCAGTGAGTCCGAAGAAGACGGAAACTGCAACAATCGAGATATCTGTTGAGAGAGGAAACTGGTTAGAAGCTGTGTGACGTCACATCGGAGAGTCAACATTAAACAATAGAAAGCCGGAGTTTGTACACGGCATGTACAAAGTACGTAAAAAATAAGTACACAGTTTAATGGGGGGGGGGGAGGATTTTAAGAGGTTCGAAGTTTGCGCTCATTTCAACTTCCGCTTCGTGTGACACGCCACTGATGAGTCATCAGTGAGTCAAAGCTTTCCATCTGGCGACTGTGTTGCTCTGGTGGCGACTGTGTTGCTATTTGTTTCGTTTTATTTAAAATCAAGTTTAAAAAAAAAAAAGCTATCGGGGGAAAATGATGCAACGAGCTAGAGAACCGTCAACATACAGAATAAATGAGGATCTAAACTTATCTCTCGATCCTAGTGAGAAAAACGTTAAGATTTGTTTTTTAATCTAGCTATTTAAAAAATGGACTGGACAAAAAAATGACTGGCTGGCGTAGATAAATGAGACAAACTTGAGAAAATTTCGAGAAACTTCGGGTTCAGCTAGGAGCTTAGTTTGATACCTGTTTGTACCCTCTTATTTAGTCTATCGCGTGATTTTACAATTATTCAGGAAATTTACTAAGGAATACAATTTTATGATTGTGGATTAATGACTTGGGTTTTCAGGGTTGTTATGACTTAAAAACAACTCTGGGCTAAAGACGAAAAATTTCTTACCGTAGTCCATTGCCCCATCTGTCGTCTGCTCAAGGCCACCCGGATGTGGAAGTTCTGCAGCCAAGTTCATGGTTCATTGGCTAGAATCAGCAATCACGTAAATCATCGTTTATTGGCTGGATGTTCTCAGGACACGGTTCACTGACTCAGCCTTTAAACAGATGGTTATCTGAAGACCGGATGGTTATCTGAAGACCGGATGGTTATCTGAAGACCGGATGGAGAATATGCAAATATTTTACAGCGATAGACGTCACTCAACTGCGGTTTCTACTGGGCGTCGAAAAATACAAACTTTACGATCACAATCACGCAGACGTGATCATTACGTTCACGGAGACGTGATCATTACAGACACAATGACGTGATCATTACAGAGACAATGACGTGATCATTACAGACACAATGACGTGATCATTACAGACACAATGACGTGATTATCACAGCCACACAAAACGTGATGATTAAGCCATACAGGAATTACCACAATCACATAACCACACCAATATGACCACAAAAACATCAACAGCCTTATTCCTTGAAACAAAAATCAACTTTTGACCCAACTACCCCAAATTTTTGGTTGCATAAATAGAAAATACATTTTGCTTAACAAAAGTTTAGTTAAAGGCAAAAAAATGTTAGATTGTACATACCCTAGCGAACACAAGTAGCTCTGGAAAGGGGGGGGGGGGGGGTTAATCCTAAATGAATAAATGCGATTAGACCATAGCCAAGACCAAATCTGCCTTAAAGCTACAACATCATCCAACACAACACATCCAAACAAAATTGTGCTCCTGTCTGCGTGAAAACAAAACGTGTTCTAGCTCACGCGCCTCGCGAACAAGCGCTCACCAACACACATCCCATTCACCAACTAGGTGTCACATTCCATCAGCGCTTCTTAGAGGGCTGGTCAAGTGGACGGTACATGCTTGACGTCACGAGACCCAGGGGCGTGTCCTCTCACAGAGACCCAGGACCAGGGGCGCGTCCTCTCACAGAGAACCTAGACCAGGGGCGCGTCCTCTCACAGAGAACCTAGACCAGGGGCGTGTCCTCTCACAGAGAACCTAGACCAGGGGCGTGTCCTCTCACAGAGAACCTAGACCAGGGGCGTGTCCTCTCACAATGACCCGGGCCTAGAGGTGTGTGTCAAGAGTTTTTTTCGATCCTGCAACTCTCAGTAATACCAGGTATGTTGAAAACTCTGACAGTTCTCCTAGACTTAGTTATGTGGCGTTTGTTACGGGGAGACAGGTGTCTGTAAGAAAACCAGGTGTGTTTGGTTAAAGTGGGTAAAATGCGATTAGTTCCAACCCAGATATTTTTTATTAAAGTATTTAAAAGCTTTTAACAGAGTGTGTGTAGAATGTGGGGTGGGGCGGGAGAGGGTTACAAAAGTAATTTGTAGAGGACATTTCGTTGATGGGAAAATGTTTCTCTAAATAGATTCCCAACATAGGTCATCAGCGAACACCACCACTGACATGACATCCTGACACCACCACTGACATGACATCCTGACACCACTATTGACATGACATATTGTATCTTGTCTATGCCCCTGACACGCCCCACTTAACGAAGGTACTGGCGTCTACATGACGATGCTAAAGACGAGTCGACACATTTTTTTATGGCTAAGTGGACTCTGGAGTCAAGCACCAATCGTGTAACAATTGTTACAAGTAGAACATTAGTACAACCTCGACAGCATGGACGCAGGTCTATTGTAACTATAACAACAAGTAACAATTGTTACAACCATTCTGTGATATTATTTACAACGTTATTGATGAAGCAGTGGCATCGCTGATGTAATAAATGTTTCGTTATATAATAATTGTTTCGTTTAATAATAATTGTTTCGTTAAATAATACTTGTTTCGTTAAATAATACTTGTTTCGTTAAATAACAATTGTTTCGTTAAAATACTACACGGCTGCCAAAGTTAGCAGTATGTCCTACACAAATTACCATAGGACCAAAAGCATTTGAAGTCTCTTGACCACTCCACTCCTGGTGTCACGTCAAGTTTTGACCCTCGATGTCAGTGTCACGTCATGTTTGACCTTTACTGCTGGTGTCACGTCATGTTTGACCTTCACTGCTGGTGTCACGTCATGTTTGACCTTCACTACTGGTGTCACGTCATGTTTGACCTTCACTACTGGTGTCACGTCATGTTTGACCTTCACTACTGGTGTCACGTCATGTTTGACCTTCACTGAAGGTGTCACCTCAAGTATTTCAGCCAAACGATTGAAGGCTAGCACCGTACCTCTGCCAGTTTGAGAACCTGTGAGAGTGGACCAGCAACCTGTTCTCGTCATACTTCTAGAAGGTTCCTTGATACCATGTAGCGCCTTGGTACTCAAGTATGACGTAACAGAAGTGGTCAGTAGTGGTCAAGATATGTCGGACAGGTCAGCTAATAAGAGAACTCGAAGGGACGAGAGAATACTTCGCATAAAAAACGCCCGTCTTGTGACTTACAAGATGCAATGCACATTTATTGGCCAATTAACTAAGTGTCTAATTAGTGCTATTAGGTGAGCAATCGAAGTAGTTTTTGGTGGCGGGATATGTGTGCATACATCACGTTGGCAGAGGCTGTGTGGTAATATAACTGGTGGGGTAATATAACAGGTGGGGTGATATAACAGGTGGGGTGATATAACAGGTGGGGTGATATAACAGGTGGGGTAATATAACAGGTGGGGTAATATAACAGGTGGGGTAATATAACAGGTGGGGTAATATAACAGGTGGGGTAATATAACAGGTGGGGTAATATAACAGGTGGGGTGATATAACAGGTGGGGTGATATAACAGGTGGGGTAATATAACAGGTGGGGTAATATAACAGGTGGGGTAATATAACAGGTGGAGTAATATAACAGGTGGGGTAATATAACAGGTGGGGTAATATAACAGGTGGGGTAATATAACAGGTGGGGTAATATAACAGGTGGGGTAATATAACAGGTGGGGTAATATAACAGGTGTGGTAATATAACAGGTGTGGTATTATAACAGGTGGGGTAATATAACAGGTGGGGTAATATAACAGGTGGGGTAATATAACAGGTGGGGAAATATAACAGGCGTTATTATATAATAGGTGGTTACCTTGGTTAAAGAGCATTCAAGTAACCCCAAGTAACAAAACCCCTCCAGGTAACACCATATAACACCTTATAACACCATATAACACCTTATAACACCAGGTAACACCATATAACACCTTATAACACCAGGTAACACCATATAACACCTTATAACACCATATGACACCTTATAACACCAAGTAATATGATGGAGGGGTGCACGCTAGAAATGGAGGGGTGCCTTAAGCATCTTGTTTTATCGCCAGAGCTTCGTTTTTAAAAAAAAAAGGAAAAATAAACTACAAGTTTGATAAACTATGTGGCCGTCCACATATGGATTAAACATTTCATACCAAATTTGATAGTAGTTAGCATAAAATGTTAAACACAATAGAATAAAAGTTCTTTTCAGAGGACAACCTCATTTGGGCCATAGGCCAACCCGATTCAGACCAGAGGCCAACTAACTCAGTGGCCAACTTCATTCAGACCATAGGCCAAACTAACTAAGTGGCCCACCTGATTAGAAGAAGAGGCCAAACCTAAACAGACCAAAAGCAAACCAAATCTATGCCAAAATCTGTAACAGGTAATAAAAGATTATCAGTGTCATCGGATTAAGAGATAAAGGATGCAAGAATGGATCGTGCGTCACCTAAAGTTATATTTTAACCATAAACTGCGGGCCGCTTGTCCTAATCTAGCCTTAACCCCGTCTATTAACTAGTAAGGGAAGGAGCTTCGCCTTTGAAAACAAAACTTTATTTAGGATTAAAATAGCAGTGATTACCTGGATTTAGAATATTGACGTACAAGATCTGTTTTTAAACAATCAACTACATTAACTGAGACAAAACCTAGACAAAAGTAAACATTGAGATGGTTCAATTTTAGAGAAATAAATCCGGAAATTTCTTTTCATTTCTTGATATCTAAGTGTTTATTTCCGGGAGGATGGTCTCAACCGGATATTTCTTTTTGAGCTCAAGTTCATTGTCTAAACACTGACGTGCTGGTGGTGGGGTTTGGTTGGTGGTTAGTAGGTCTAGTAGGTTGGTGGTTAGTAGATCTAGTAGGTTGGTGGTTAGTAGGTTGGTGGTATGTAGTTGGTGGTAAGGTTGGTGGTTAGTAGATCTAGTAGGTTGGTGGTTAGTAGATCTAGTAGGTTGGTGATAGGTAGGTTGGGTGCTGGTAGGTTGGTGGTTAGTAGATCTAGTAGGTTGGTGGTTAGTAGTTTGGTGGTATGTAGTTGGTGGTAAGGTTAGTGGTTAGTAGATCTAGTAGGTTGGTGGTTAGTAGATCTAGTAGGTTGGTGATAGGTAGGTTGGGTGCTGGTAGGTTGGTGGTTAGTAGATCTAGTAGGTTGGGGGTAGGTAGGTTGGGTGGTGGTAGGTTGGTGGAAGTAGGTTGGTGGTAGGTTGGTGTAAGATAGGTGGCAGGTTTGTGAAAACCGTCTAAGCTAGCTCCTGTCAGCCTAACCTTTGTGTACTTTAACTTGCCGTCAAAACAAAAATAATTTTTTGATTCACTTTGCAATGGCAACGGCCCAGAAAATGCTTTTAAAAAAATTCAATATTTTCAAAATTGTGTGCATTTAAAAAAATTAAATGCTGTGTGTTTTTTTTTATAAATTTTCTGCAGATTCTTTATTATGAATATATTCTGTAACAAAATAATTAATTTTATCTAGTTCAAACTGACGTTTAAATATTTCTGGTCAATCTACAATTATCAAATGCAACAAACGGCTGAACAAAGTTTGAGTCCAGAATGTAAACCACCACGACAAACTGTGAACTGTGAATGATAGTTTTTATCCAGCTGAAAGTGAATAGTAAATCACCACGACAAACTGTAAGTGATAGTTTTTATACAGCTGAAAGGCGGGTCATGTGACTGGCCTACATAACGATGACCTTGGGCTATTTCTATTCACCTTATCGGCTAATTAAGAGTTGCTATTAACTGTGTCATGACAGCCATAGTCTCCTCTTGCTATATGACCCGGGTCTCTTAAAAGTTGCGTTATGCCCACTGTAGCCAACTTTATGCCCACTGTAGCCAACTTTATGCCCACTGTAGCCAACGGTATGCCCATTGTAGCCAACGTTATGCCCACTGTAGCCAACGGTATGCCCACTGTAGCCAACGGTATGCCCATTGTAGCCAATTGTATGCCCATTGTAGACAACGTTATGCCCACTGTAGCCAACGTTATGCCCACTGTAGCCAACGTTATGCCCATTGTAGCCAACGTTATGTCCATTGTAGCAAATTGTATGCCCATTCAAGCCATCGATATGTCCACTGTAAGTTCTGGCGGTCAATGACACAGGTAGAGTTCACCAGTAATCTGTCACCTCGGCTCGTGAGGGTTAGCTCTATGCCCAGCGGCCTTTACTCTTCCTGACACGAGTCAGGTACCCACCAGGGATGTGCTACAACTCTATCCGGGGACCCGAACTTGAGACTTTCGAGTTAGCAGACAAACTCTCTACCATTCGACCACGTCGTCCCATAAAATGTGCGATATACCCATTAATGCCGTCTTTATGCCCATTAATGCCGTCTCTATACCATTCAATTACGAAAAATCGACGCTTATGTTGGTGAAAATTTGTTTTAGGGATAGGCGGCTTTGTAAAGACAAAAGTTCTCGAATAATAGACAAGAAAAGTCATACTTCACTCACCTAATCTTGTGACGCCGACAGCCTGAGTTCCTGATATTGTGAATCCGACAGTCTAAGCTCCTGATATTGTGACGCCGACAGTCAGTGTCCCTGATATTGTTGTGACGCCGACAGCCCAAGTTCCTGATATTGTGACGCCGACCGTCAGTATCCCTGATATTGTTGTGACGCTGACCTACTGTTGTAAGCACACCACGCGATGTCTACACTGGAGCACACACGGAACTAAATTCACTTGTACATAGAGACATGTGTTGTTGTGTCCGCTCCCTCGCGTTCTGCAGTCAATGAGTGGCTCAATATGGGGGGGGGGGGGGGAATGGGGAATTCCCGTATATTTTACCAGGGCCATCGGATGTCAAGCTAGAGATGAAGTAGGGTGGTTGGGCCATCAGATGGCAGGGCAGCTCAACAGTAGGGCCATCAGATTATGTCGTTTAACTGCAGGGCCAACCAATGGTTATGCCGTTTAATTAGGTAGTCCAAACTGGCGAAAAAGTGCGTTTTAGGGTCAGTTTTTGCGGTTTTCAAAAATAAAATTTCACTACTTCTAGTTGTCCTATAAGAATAAAAATTATATGTCAATAAAGTTTAAGCCTTTATCTGTCGTAATCTGGTATTTGTATATCTGTAACATATGTTTGAATGTGTTTTATATTGGTTTGAAAAGTATCAGTTACGTCAACAAATTTCACCGTTTTGCGTGTACCGATCGACCCCACACTGTTTCATTTGGTTGCGGCTTCGCGACGAAGCATCGTAGAAGCATAATCTTAATGTCATTTTAAAGAGCGAATTCTAGTCTATCGTTTGATGTATAAATTGAAAAAATAACTTGCTTATTTCATTTTAAAAAATCAGTTTTTAAACTTTAAATGACGATGTATACACGAAAACAAACTAATTCTGTTTCAATCTTTACACCGATGTAAAGTTCACTTTTATAACTACTTTGTGTTGTAAATTCAAGTCTTTCTGATTTACGGTCGCGAAGCCGTACCCTCAATAAGCATATAACCCTCGAGTCAACTTTCAGCCCCGAGTCAGTTGCTCGCCGAACGGTTTTAAAGGTTGACGACCGATGATGCTAAACGGATTTTACCCTTGCTAGAGCCTTCAAACAAGTTGTAAGTATCATTTTTAAAGTTTCATTTACATTTTAATAAATGAATTTTAAGTTTGAATGTCAGTTTGGTTTAATTAGCACACGTTATTAATGTAAATTTGAACCCTACTAGTCAACGGTTTTAGCGTGTGAACTACGCTTGTACACAGGGTGTGTTTAAACGTGAAGCTATTTAATTCAGGACATTCTAGGTACTTAAAATATGGATGCACTTAACTATTAGATGCTAGTGTTTACTAATTCTTTAAAATCTATCGAATGGGATTAATGATAGGGTCGTATTACTACAGTTTATCTGGACTATCGCGTCAAAATTATGAATCGACAAATTCAAAATGGCCACCAGACATTTTTGGTTACTATGTGGACGAACTCAATTATTTACAGGGAACGAAGGTTAAATACTTATAAAATATTATTGAAACACAAAAGAAACTTATAATTGTAATAACTATACATTTTTATCAATTTATTTAAAACAAAAGACACTAAAGTTTAAGGACTAATGTGATTAATTTTCAATTTTCTGTTGTGCACTGATTCTGATTCCCCTGCTGAATAATGTGAAATGGTCTGCGCCAGTCTCCTTAATAAAATGTACCAGATCAATTTTTAGATGGTGGTGCAATTTAATAAGATTGTACATGTTGTGACTTAGTTTTAAATGTTATATTAGTTGTAAGTGTAAGTAGTACTTCTCATTATTTATTTATTTTATATGCATATAGTAACAATGAAGGACAGTTAAGTTGTCCTATATGATGTTGAGAACTACAGTATGGCACCTTCATCATTGGATATCTCAACCATTGTGGCACAAACAACGAATATTTCATTCAATAGAATTAATGTTCAAAATATACTATCAAGTTTACATTTCTTTAAACAAAAAGGTGTTTTCAGGCTTTTTCATGTTTCCAGCTACAGTCACAGGATAAATAGTAGGCCTACAAAATAGGCTAGTAGTAAATCTAATTATATTTTATTAATCACTAAATCAATTATTTATTCCATAGCTGGAGACATTTATGGTGGCCTATCCAGAACTTTCCTTACAAGGGAAGGAGGCCAAGCCCCCCCCCCCCCAACTACAGTTCCCAAAACATATCACTTACTCTTGATGCTCAACAAGATCAAGGTTGGGGGTAACTAGACATACAAAGATGTGGAGTTGTCGTTTTAAAAACTGTTCCCCCAAAGCAGTTATCAACCCAATAGGTTTGAATGTAACAGCAACTGCTGCATTACTTGTAGGCATCACGTCTTTATTAGATTACATTACATTACTCCACTAAATTTTGATTCTGTTTCTCCTGCTCTAGATAACTGTGACATTTTTTAAAAATAATATTTTAACTCATGTGATTTTTGAAAATATTGAACACATTATTCCTGTTAATGTTACCAACAAAATAGTTTTAGAGTTATTCTATGTCCAAAGCAAAAAAAAAAAAAAAAAAAAAAAAAAAAAAAAAAAAAAAATTTGAAAATAAAAGTGACCAAAACGCATTTTTGTCATTTTCAATTATTTTTTTACCTTAGAAAGACTCATTTTAGATGACTGAAAAAAATTGGGCATATATATTACAAACTTTGCAGTAACCTTACCAATTTCTACACTTCTATGTTATTTAGTTTAGAAAATATGGGTTCTCAAAAATGGCACTTTTTAAAAATCAGTTTTTTACCAAATTTTGCTTTTTTAAAAATCGCATAACTTTTTTATTTATTAAGATATTTTTATAAAATTTGTGGCATAGAGCTTACAATTAAAAGTTCTTTCATGCCATACTCACTCCAGAAGTCTGCAATCAATAGTTAATTTCAGTTTGGACTACCTAGTTTAATGTAGGACCTTACATCGAAAGGGTCGCCTAACTTAGGAAAGTTGAGAAAATATATTCAGTGACTCACAGTGGATGAGCTTTGAAACTTTAGACTGGTGAGCTGTGTGTAAGGCAAGTGTGTAGTCTAGAGTAAGTGTGCCGTGTAGAACGTGTTGTGTGTAGGACAAGTACGTAATCAGGGACAAGTGTGTAGT